GGCACTGGAAGATCCGGGGACTCTGTGAGGGGCCAGTGAGCCAAGCTGAGGCTAGTGAGGTAGGCCGCTCAAGGAAGTCTGATGGATAAGTGTCTTGTGTTCCTAGTTCGGATATCAGAAATCCCACAAGTGATTAACTCTCAGGAAGCAAAATGGACTTTCTCACAGTTCAGGCAGAGGGATGTCTGAATTCAAGGTGTCAGCTCGAGGGGGGACACTGGTCTTTCTCATCCTCTGTAGGCCTGACCTGCCTCAGTTCCTTGATGAGTCATATGTGCCAATAGTTTGCACCCCCTGTTTGTGCTTGATTCTGCATCTAGGCCGCTCTTTCTGTAGCTCAGAAGGGATCAGGTAGAGGATCTATCCTCCCCTGCCACGACCTCAACTGATTGATCCCATTCAACTGCATTGTAGGAGATATGACAATCCATTCCATTCCATCCACAGCAATAGGGGTTTGGATTCCAATACACATTTGTTTGTTTGTTTGTTTGTTTGTTTGTAGGCCCAACTGAGTTCGCAACAAAAGCAGAGTAGAGCAGGAATGAGTGGGGGAAGTGGTTGGCCATAGACAGCATCAGATGGGTGGAGGGGCTGACAAGAGACAGCCCCTGGGTGGAAGAAGTGCAAGTCTACCAGCCAACCTGGAGGACGACGTTCAGGGGCGAGCCGGGGGAATGAGGAAGGGCTTGTGTGACACCCACGGAGTGCGCACGAAGGCTCACGCTGGAGGATGGTCATGGTCAGATGGTCCCTTTGGAAAGGCCCCACAGGGTTTTGGGGAGACTGGGTGAAGAAAAGCAGGGATAGGAGGCAGAGTGGTCACCAAGGCAGGGGCAGCATCAATGAAGGGGAGATGAGGCTAGAAAATGAATTCAGGGGTTAGTATGGGCAGCATTTGGTGATTGCCTGATATAAAGGAGTCCTGGTTTCTGGCTAGCCATGAGGGATGGAGAAAGGCTTGTGGTTCACAGAGATCAGACACAACGAGGGAGAAGAATGAAACATTCTAAGTTCAGGACGCTGGGGTGCCCTGGGGCAGGACAGTGAGAACTGGGATGAAGATGTGGAAGGACAGGAAGGCAAGCCCCGACAGAAGGCGAGTGTGAGAAGTGGCCAGAGAAGACTACCCACCTTCTTCCCAATTGATCTTTCTTGGGCAAATTCTTCTACTTCTCTGACCCTCTGACTCCTGGCCTCTGCAGTGGGATGAGGATTTCTTCTTTCTAGGGCTGTGGTGAAGGATGAAACTACTGTAACAAAATACCCCCCTAGGCACAGTTATGAAAACTTCTCAGACATAACCGAATCCCTTGAGGAAATGAGTTGCTGGGCCTGAAGGCTCAGAACGATAGTTTCGGGGACACTAGGGTGAATTGGCATAGCATAGCTTACAAAGACAATGGTCTACCCGCTACTTTGGTAAGTAGTGACTGGGGTCTTAAAAGTTGATATAGGATGCAACTCTTGGTCCCTCTGTTTCCAGAAGAAAGAAGAACGAAGAAAATCAAAGACACATGGAAAAAAATCGGTCCAATGGACTAATAGACCATATGAACAACAATGTCCATTACTCTGGGACCTGAAGAACTAGATGGTTCCCAGCTCCCACTACCAATTGTTCTGAAAGGGATGACCTAAGAAGGCCTTGGACAAAGTAGGAAAGAAATATGGGCCAATTCCTAAAATAATAATAATAAAAGACCAGACTTAATGGTCAGATAGAGACTGATAGAGCCCACAAGATCATGGTCCTTAGCCAACCTTCAAGTCTGTAAATGAATTTCTCCGTATGGCTCCTTTATCAGCCACACAGTAGACAGGTCTACAAGGGACACATAACACTCAG